TCTTTTAAAACATACATGGCCGTCATGAATTTATCTCCCATGCATTCTTTTAAAACATACATGGCCGTCATGAATTTATCTCCCATGCATTCTTTCTCAGAAAGCTACTGGGGAGCACACTCTGGCAAAACGGTGAGGCCGGCCGAGGAAGAAAAAGCGGCTCTAAGACTAGGGTCTGGCGCAGGAGAGAGTAAGTCCATGGAAGATGAGGAAGTCTGAAAGACCGCTGTGTAGCCATCCTAGATAGCATTCATTTTGGGGTGGAAATAATGTTGTCCTGTGTTGGTGTATGTGTTGCTGTGAGGCTGGAGGCTATGCCGCTGATACTTCACATACCAGCGGGCTCACGCATGGTGGACAGGTTTCAGCAGAGCTTGCAGACTGAGGCAGACTCAGAAGAAGGAAGAGGCCATCCACTTCTCAAAGAATTGGCCGGTGAAAACCTTATGAATAGTGAAAACAGTGTCTATTACTGGAAAACTTTATGAATAGCCCTAAAGTATGCTCTGATATAGTGCCAGAAGATGAGCCCCTCAGGTCAGAGGCACTAAAAATACGACTGGGCAAGAGCTGCCTTCAAAAAGTAGAGTTAGTGTTAATGACCTGCATGGAGGCCCTCCTTTTGCTGATGGGGCATGACTAAAAATGGGAAGAAAAACCTGCAAACATCATTAATTAGAACACGGAATGTACGAAGTATGAATGTAGGAAAATTGCATGTTGCCAAAAATGAAATGAAATTCATAAAGATTGCTATCCCAGGCATTAGTGAGCTGAAATGGACTGGTTTTGGCCATTTTGAATCAGACAGTCCAATAGTCTACTGCTAGGAATGACAAATTGAAGAAGAGTGGTCTCACATTCATTGTCAAAAAGGACATTTCAAGATCTATCCTGAACTTCAGTGCTGTCAGTCTTAGAATAATATCCACATGCCTGCAAGGAAGACCAGTTAACACTATTATTATGCAGATTTACACAATGTTTTGGTTACCTGGTGCTGCTCTGACAAGAGTATACCACAAATGAGATGGCTTGAACAAACCAGCAGTTTATTCTCTAACAGTTTGGAGGCTTTAATTCCAAGTTCAAAATGGCATGCTTTAGGGGCTGAGTGAAAGACCCTCAACTTTTGGCTTCAGCTCTGCCTCCTGTTCCTGGCCTACTGAAGCTAGAAGCTTTTCTTCACTCAAACAGCT